GGGTAGGGGGCGGGGGGGAAAGGGGGAGGGAAAAAGGGAAAGGGAATGTTACACTATTGATGGAGTTTGAATCCTCCACCTTAATTATTGAAGGCTGGGGAACTACTAGGCGAGCTAGCTCTCCACCCCGATTAGTTTCTTCGTGTTAGGAACGGAAAAATCAGGTTTCATGCGTAAGCTAGTAAAACAAACCTTGAACGACGATAAATCACACAACAAAAGATAAATATACCAAAAGAAACACATACATTTAACGTGGTTCGGTCAATTGACCATTTGACCTACGTGCATAGATGGAGATGAGCAATCCACTATATAAAATAGAGTGAAAAAAAATCGAGAGAACAACCTCACAAAGAGACAAACACAAGTGACTTACTAAAACTTGTCCCGTAAAGTTCTCCCTCTAAACACGACTCTTAAATCCCATATGGCTACATTGTGACAGAGGCGGATCCAGAATTTTAGCAGGATGGGTGCACTATTAAGAAGGGGTGGACCCAGTATATAAATTTTACATGTTCAACCTGTAGTTCTTACTATTACTCACCCGTTATACTTTTGAATTATAAGTTCAAAACTAAAATTAAAAAAAATAATTTTCTTGCATCTATATCTATTATCCATGTTGAAAATGTCGGGATCAATTGAACCCACTAATTATTACATCATACATTGCTACTAGTTTTAATATACATATTTTGTTTAATCATATAAGATTTTACGGTGACAATAGAAGAATAAGAATTTTAATGTGCGAATTTTTTGAAAGAATAAATCAAACAAAAAAAGAGATAAAAGAAAAAGTACTTAATTAATACGCAAAAGGTGACACCAAACATGCTCATTTCCCGTGAGCGTCTAGTTCAAGGGAAAAAAAGAAGAAAAAATAACAAGATTGATAATAGAATATAATTGACCCAGTAAATATCACATCATATAATACTTTGAGTAATGGGTGCACACACCTTTATTTAAGTATTGTTGAAAAAAATAATATAATACATGATTTAGGGAGGGGAGAATGCTTCGTTTGTGCAGTTATCGTACAGAGAATTTTTAGAATCAGCATATTACTTTCTCGTGAAGAAAGTAAAAAATATTTAAGAAGAAAAATAAGTTCAGTTGCAACATGAACCTCAATCTTGTACACTAAAATTGAAGAGTAACCTCAAAAGCGTAAAAATTGCACGGGCTCCTTATTTGGTCGCTCCCATTTAACTTATATCCATTTTTTTAAAAGTTTTAACTGTACCTACTTTTTAAACAACTCAGCCCCCTTTCTCCTCCTCCTTCTCCTCCTTCGTTTTCTTCTTCTTCTTCTTCTTCTTCTTCTTCTTCTTCTTCTTCTTCTACTACTACTACTACTACTACTACTACTACTACTGTTGGTGCTGCTATGAAACTTCAGTTCATGGGATGATTTTCATAAGTATGTTTATCAGATTATTTAAAAAAAATTATAAATAATTACGTATGTTAGTAGACAATAATTTGTAAATATTTCCACGTATGGGAACTTTAAGGTCACACTTACTGATTCTTTTCATGATAATTTTGTTCTTTTCACGTTTATTGTTTCCAAAATTTATGATTTAGATACTATTGGCAATCTGATTATTTTATAGTAGTAATACACTATGAAAGAATAAGGTGATTATTTATCTAGTATGTTAGAAAGCTTTTTCAAAAACTTCAGCTTATATAGTGCTAAAGTTTTTACAAATGAACTAAATAACTTCAGCATCTTCTGCTGAAGTTTTTGAAAAAACTTTATGACAAAACTAATGAATCCAGGACAAAAAAGCTTAAGCTTATTTAGTGCTGAAGTTTACAAATGAACTAAATAACTTCAACATCTTGTGCTGAAGTTTTTGAAAAACCTTTATGACAAAACTATTAAATCCAGGACAAAAGAACTTCAGCTTATTTAGTGCTGAAGTTTTTACAAATGAACTAAATAACTTCAGATCTTCTGCTGAAGTTTTTGAAAAAACTTAATGACATAACTAATGAATCGAGGACAAAAAAACTTCAGCTTATTTAGTGCTTAAGTTTTTACAAATGAACTAAATAACTTCAGCATCACAAAATTTCGGCACATTTGGTTCAGCAATTTTTGCTACTTCAGACCCGTCTACTAGAATGCTGAAGTTTGCATGGTTTCCGTTGCTACTTCAGGCACGTATGCTGAAGTTACGCGAAAAAGTGGGTACATTTGCAATTTTTTTTGCAAAGCGGGTACAAGTTAAAACGTGACCCAAAAAGCGGGTATAGATGTAAATGGCCCCTCAAAAGCTTTCACACTCACAAACATTTGTGTATATCTTTCTTGGTTGTAGAACTTACCAGAGGCGGATCTAGGATTCACTATTTATGGGTTCCTGCAACGATCTCGAGTAAATTTTAAATAGTAACAGCGTTCACATTCAAACATGTATAGATATTTAGTAACTTTTTTGAACACATTTACACTGTTTAGACAAAATCTACTGGATTCACGTGAACCCGCAAGTGGGGAGGTGGATCCGCCCCTAGAACTTACTACTAGTAAAGTATTTTGGAGTCAACAACCTTTCAAACTCGTTTCAGATTTTATTTTATCTAGAACTATGATAACTTCAAGCGCGACCACAATTTGAAGCATATGAGTTTTGAATTCTAATATTTCTAAGTTATAAGGTTTTAAATTAATAATTTTATGTATAATCATTTAATTTGTTAAAACAAATATAGAGTTTAGACTAAAGCAACTAACTCAAAAGTTTGCTACGCCCATGCATGTATAAGTCTATACTATCAAAGATTTGATTTAGTGGTCAATAAAGCAAATTAAAAACCGAAATCTCAAAATCAAATCCGAAAACGTGAAAAGACATACACAAATAGTCGATCAGATTCGATGTTTGATTTTTCTAGTAAGTATACATAGATTATATATTAAATTATATATAATTATATGTATATTATATATGAATTTTATATATATATATATATATATATATATATATATATATATATATATATATATATATATATATATATATATATATATGTTATATATCTGCCTGCTATTTTTAATGTAAGAGATTAGTCGGACGGTAATTTGAGTTTATTTATTTATTTATTTTTGAAATTTATGGATAACAATGATGTGTGGGGCCATGAGAAGCGTCCCAAAATCCCAATCACACAAGACTTCAGGTGGGCTCAAACAAGGGGCAGCCACATCCATTGAGTATAAAATAATAATTAAAAAAGAAACACAAAGCAAAACAGCGGCAAATAAATAAAAGGAAAAAGCAATATATTCCCCAGAATTTCATCTACGTATTCGCGTAAAAAGTCAGCAGCTTTTTCAGTTTCGAATTTCAATTCTCGCTAATCAGGTAATTCACGCCTCTTTATATTTTCCAATTTCCTTTTTTTGCTGAATAGTGTTGTATTCTGATCTGATTTGTGGTTTAATTTTTTGGTCAGGTTAAGACTCAGATTTCTTCGATTGTTTGGTTTTTAATGGCTTCGAAACGAATATTGAAGGAGCTGAAGGATCTCCAAAAAGATCCTCCTACCTCATGCAGCGCCGGTAAATTTTTTTCTAATTTTATGCTCCTACTTTTTGTAATTTATATGATTTTTTTGTAAAGTTATAATCTTTTTGCTTGTTTGGTGGTTGATCTATGGATTCTTCTCGATGCGCGAGGATTTACTGTTTTTAGATGCTGAAATTTCAGTTTTTACCTTGCTCAGATGATATTTTCTTTGTTTTTTTTTTTTTTTTATAATTTAATTGTTATGATGTTTGATTATTCTGATGGGTCATTTGTGAGATCATGGATTTCTGTTGTTTCTCAAATTAAGTTATCTCAAGTCAAACATATCTAGCTAGATTTAGTGACTAGTCTAGCTTGATATTTAAACCCTAGTTTCTCATGGTTCATTCCAGCTTCATTGACCGCTAGGTCATACCCTTCAATGCAATTGCATATGTTGAATTGAAAGTTTTTAGCTCTTTGCTTACAATGTTGTTTTTTGCCATCTATCACTTCGGTCGTCCTTTCTTTTTCATCAAATTGTGAATGACTCAAGTGCCTTTTGCAAAATATAATAGCTTAGGTCTCCTGTGTTTAAAGCTTTGATGTGTTCAACCTTTAAAATTCCTAGCATTGAACTCATTATACTTGTGAAATTATGGGTTCAAAATATTACACTAAGGGGACAAAACTGTGAGTCTCAAAGGCCTTGAGGTGCGGCCCAAAAGGGATCGGGCCAAAGTAGATAATACCTTGACTGTTGGTCCTGGGATGTTACAAGAGGAGCATAATATTACATAGTGCTCTCTGACATCTGTGGAATAGGGAGCTTGTCTTCACCTTATCTATAATGTAGCTTCTAATATTTTTAGCTTAATTTTGTAAATACCAGTGTTTTAAAAGGCGGGGGCGTGAGGCGAGGCGAGGCGCGAGCCCCGAGACACGGGGTATAAGTCCCATGGATCTTCAATTTTACAATTTTATAATTAATAAAATAATCTGTAATTATTTATTAATCTAAAATTACATTAAAATTGTAGAAAAACCACAAAAATCACAAAAAATATAGGAAATTTATTATAATTATATGAAGTAACAACACAAAAATATACTAATACATGAGATACATCTTAACAATAAGTCAATAATGAGTTACATCAGTTTTAGTGATTTGTGAAGCAAAGAGCTCCTGGATTTTAGGAGAAAGTTCAAGGTTCTATTGAGTATGGACGATTTCTTCACTGTCTAACGAGGTTAGGGCTTTTTTTAATGTGGTGGGGACAGATTTGGGGTAAAGCAAAGAGGGGTTTAAAAAATATAAGGAGAATTGTCAAAATTATCCCTTAATTTGTTAAGTTCCATCTGGCGTGAGCCTTGGTCCTGAGCTGAATCTTGCGCCTAAGCGTGCACCTCACCCCTTGGGGCGTGCATCCAAAGGATCTACGCCACCATTAACGCCCGGTTGCGTTTTACTTGTGCCCTGCCCTGATCGCTCCCTGGGGCTCGCTCCGGAAATGCCCCTAAAAACACTGGTAAATACACGTGAAAAGAGAAGATTCCTATCACAACAAGCTTTATACATGTCAGACTTTTGTTTAATTGGTTCTCATGACAGAACTTATGCTGGTGGCCAGATTAATTTTCAAAATGATCTGAATTTATTGGTTATATGGCAACGTCAATTCATCATGCACTTTTTTCATTCTTCAAGTTTCTTTGTGCTAGTTTTCCTAATGTCATTATGTCCATACTTTTAACTTCTTTTTAGTATAATGTCGTGTGCATTGAAGCCTCGAAGATATTTAGTTTCTGCCAGGAATCCTTACAGAGATGTTTCTTTGTCCACATTGTCATGCTAGTCCTATAAACCAATCATGAATCCTTCTAATAAATCTTACCTTATAAAAAAACAACAACAACAACAACATACCTAGTATTATCCCACCGTGGGGAGGATAGTGTGTACGCAGACCTTACCCCTACCTTGTGAGGATAGAGAGGTTGTTTCTAATAGACCCTCGGCTCAAGAAAAAAAAAAAAGTAAGAAAAGAAAAAATAAATAATTATTCCTTCTAATCTATCTTTCCTGTGATACCGTTGTCTGATGCTTTTCATATTCCACGTTGTTCAATTATTATAGCCATGATAGTTTATATGTAATTTTGTAAATTTGCTTCTATCTTAGCATATGATGCATGCTTGACTATTTTGATACATGATCTGCCTCCCGATTTGGCAACACTGGTTTGAATTATAGTGATTGGGCATTTTGGATATTCTTCAACAAGATGTTGTGCAGACAGTCCAGCATCTTTTGTAGAGGAGATATATTCTAACTTATTCATCATTTGGAGATGTATGCTAAATTATAGTGGTTTTGGCTTGCTAACATTTTTGTACCATGTGTTGATAGGTCCTGTTGGAGAGGACATGTTTCACTGGCAGGCTACAATAATGGGGCCCTCTGACAGCCCTTACGCTGGGGGTGTATTTTTAGTCACTATCCATTTTCCTCCAGATTATCCATTCAAACCTCCTAAGGTATCTTATAGTTGCAAATTACTTTGTGAGTCAATGATGTGTCTGCTGGTGGTTGTTGTATTTGCAGTGTCCTTACTTGGTTTTTGCATATTGGAGCATAATTCTCTTGGACTTTTGACTCCCGTCTATTCTTGCATTGTTTGATGATGTTGAAATAGATTTCCTGGTAATGAGCTTGTGCCAAGTGCAATGTAGAAGAGAAGTTTTTTGTTAGACTGTCACCTTGCCTTAGAAACAGAATCTCAAGGTTGAGGTCTAACTTACAGATAATACACTAGTAGGTTTTGTTACCGGGGGAGGGAGGTGTTATGATACTTGAATAAACATAGTACATATGCTTGTTTTTGAAACTTTTGGTGCCAGATATGGTGATTAAAGAGGAATATGGAGAGCGCAACACGTGATGTGTGGGTCAGGCGCATGTCACGGGTTCATACCTTGCCGGAGATAAAAGCTTGGTATTTACGTGGAGAAGGATAGAGGGGCCAGCTCATTTTCCACCAAGTTTTGAACTGTGCACCATTGACCCTTCGGGATTTCTTGGTGATAAAAAAATTGCCTTGGATTATTCATACTTCATATTACTTTGATTAATGTGGTGTTTAAATACTACTAGGCGGGCTGCCTAGTAGCTATTTTATTAATAATAAAAAGAAAATCTAGAAAGGAAGAGTACAAGTAAGGGGGGCAAAAGCTACAGTAGTGTTGCCTTGCCTCTATGCCTTGGCTATATAATCATCCTTGTGCGCCTCCATTGCCTTATGATGGCAGCCTCATGATGAGGCTCATGGTGTTGCTGCCGACAAAGTCTCACGAGGGCGAATGATCTCATAGCTGTTTGGATATTTCCCAAAGGCCCAGGACATATAACAAGCACATACTGAGCTAGACCTTACCTTACAATTCCTAATGAGGCATAAAAATCCTCATCTTAGCAAGCATGTAAAAAATAAGAACTAGAACGAACTAAGTACTCTATGATCATCACGGAGTTTATAACATACTTTGTGATGATATTACAAATGATGATGCTCAAAAAATGATAGAATAAAATAAGGTAAAAAATTGAGTCTTGCCCCTCTTTCTTCAACCTTGTGAACTCTTCAATTTTGTAGCTCCTTGGCTTCTTCTTCCACTATCTTCAAATATTCTTCAAACTTTATCTTTTCTTCTTTGATCTATTGGACCTTGTGGAGGTGGTAGGGACAACCGCCTTTTGCTTTGCAGAAAGAAAGAGCAATACCTCTTTGGTGTGGGTTAAGAACGAGGAAGATTCGCCTATTTTAGAATGACATCATGATCGGTATCAACTAGGTGATCTGCAGGACTGAATGCATGTTTTATACAGATGTACTGAAACATGAAACATTTGGAAAATTTCTGTCGGAGTCAGACAAGCTGTTTTTTGGTCAATTATTAGTTGGTGAACCTGAACATGTTCATGTATTTATGGTTGTCAGTTTATAACCTGGAGTCTTCCACTAGACTTTATTGTGTTAAATTATGGTTAAATCTTTGCAGGTTGCTTTTAGGACAAAGGTTTTCCATCCAAATATCAACAGTAATGGGAGCATATGCTTGGACATACTGAAGGAGCAGTGGAGCCCCGCCTTAACTATTTCCAAGGTCCTTTCTTACCTTTATCTGCTAAGAAATAATACAAGCTATGAAAACATACTTATTCAGTGGTCTGGGATTCAAAATATAAGAGTTCTTTCAAATCAATTTGGATGCATCAGCTAATTGTTGGTAATCTAAAGGATAGGTAATAAAATATAATGACTCCTTGAAAAGGAAACAGCATTTTATTGGACATTTTATGTAATAGGTGACCTAATCTTATTAGCCTTTTCTAATTATTCCTTTATAGCTTTAGGGAGCAATGGTGAAAACATTATAACTGTCTAACTTGTCCTTCATAAAGCGCTTTGGTTTCAGTTGCCAGCATATGATCTTGTCTCTGACTCTGTTCTCTAATGGTACATCAATTGGTTCTGTGGAATTATGTGTTGTGTTAAATGGCTTTCCTAGACCAGTCGAACTGGTTAAGTTTTACGAAGTATGTTGTGTTATTTGTGTTTCTTAAGGTGGGAAAGGTTTCTGTATTACCTTCAGGTTTTGCTTTCAATCTGCTCACTTTTGACGGACCCAAACCCTGATGACCCTCTGGTTCCTGAGATTGCTCACATGTACAAGACAGACAAGGCCAAATATGAAGCAACGGCCAGGAGTTGGACCCAGAAGTACGCCATGGGCTAACTATTGCCTATGATGGCTTGAATTGATATAAAGAAAAACAAATTTCAATGTCTTTCTCCTCTGCTCTCTCCATTAACAAGTTGTACAATAGCATTAAGCATTGCCCTCTGCAGGAAAACTAATGATGCTTTGAATTTTGTTTATATAGATTCTAATATTTTATGTGGGGAAGCATATATTTATCTGGTTTTGGATTGTTGGTTTGACACTATTTGTGTAAAAAATTCATGCTTTTTGTACATTCTATCATGTTTATTACTATTAAGGATAACTATTTGAGATACGGCTTCATCCTCGAGGTGGGGTTTGTCTTATCATAGTTTAGTTTATTCTAATTAACCTTGGCCTAAGAAGTTTTAGAAAAGATGAAAGTATGTCTCTGTTTTTTCCTTTCCTTCTTTTCCCCCTGTTTCCTATTTTCCCACCTTGAACTACTTCTCAAGTATTTGTCATACTGTGAGAATAATGTGGTGCGCACTTCATGTTTAGTCTTAACTTGGGGTATGATTACCTATGCTATAGCATTGTGAATTAAGTGGTATTTGAGAAAGGAAGACAGTCTCCTGGTTTATTGGTTAAAAATCTGAAGCATCATGTAATGGAGATTCCACAGTTTAGCGGAGTTTCTGTAGTTTCATTGTTTTTGAACTAGTCTATATCTAGCATGGAGTAATCTGAGACTATCCAACTATATGATGCTTATATTTTGGTAGTTTGTGTGCATCTGCTACCAAAGTTTTGGCTGGAAGAATTCCCTTAGTTTCATCTCTGATGAAATTACCTTTTCTGAGCCGAGGGTTTACCGGAAATAGCCTCTTTGCATTCTTGAGGGTAGGGTTAAGGTCTGCGTATACACTACCCTCCCCAGACCCACTTGTGAGATTACACTGGGTTTGTTGTTGTTGTTTGTCACCTCTGTTGAAATTCGAACCTTGGTTTCCATATTGTTATTCTGACTCTTAAACCGTTGCACCATCTATTACAGGGGGTTTATTCATTGCACCATTGAATGTAGGAGACTTATCGCTTGTTTGGCAAAGCTGCAAAAATCAGTTTATTTTGAGACGTGCTTTTTTCAAAAGTACTTTTGGTGAGAAGCAATTTGTGTTTGACAAACTTATTTGAAAAGCACTTATGAGCAACAATTAGTGTTTGGTCAAGCTTTTAAAAACTATTTCTAAGTGTATTTTTCTCAAAAGTGCTTTTCAAAAAAGTGATTTTGGAGAGAAGCTACTTTAAATTGCTTCTGCGTCTACTCAAAAGTACTTTTTTCTTTAAAAGCTGGCCAAACACTTCAACTTTTAAAAAAAATCACTCAAAAAAGTGCTTTTGGCTTGGTGAAGCTTGGCCAAATAGGCTAGTAGTCTTCTTGATACTTTGCTTGGATCATAAGCTTTCAACTTAGATAACAGGGAGTAAAAAAGCTGAGGAAAAAGATGAAAATCAAATTCGTTATCAAGTTGCCAAAGTATTCTGAAAGTTACAAACTTGGCAAGCACAAAGAGTGAAAGAATCTACTTTATTACCAGCGTGAGTCACATTTTACCAATGGTTTCCTATTGTTCTGTTCTATTTGCTAACCAGAAGTTGAAATTCTGAAATTGAGCTCCATCTTTTGTCTTATCTTTATTGTAATGTATAATATGAAACCCGGGATAAAGGAAAAACAAAAAACAAAAAACAAAAGTTAAAGCCTATATTGATGTAAATTTGAATGATTAAGAAGTTACCAAACATTCATATAGCCGATTCCAACTTGGGATTGAGGTGGAGTTATTGTTTGGTTGTTGTCATACCTTTATTTACTATAACTCATTTTGAATCACCTTAGTGAAAATTTTGGCTCCGGGAGCATATGTAACACATTTTTTATGGAGCCTACGGCCTACGGGGCCATTTCTCAAACTGTGCGAATACGAGAGAGTGTGGGACAGGAAACAGCAAAGGATTTCAGCAGCAGACAAACTTGCCATTAAAGGAATACCACATGCAATAAAAGAGAAAAAGGGTAAACAAAAAAACAAAAAGATTAGCTTAAACACCAAATACAGACCACTAAAGAAGGAAAAGAACTCAACCTTACATTCCAATTGGTCTAAAAAATATTCCCAACAAATAAAATCTGAAAAAAAGCAAAGGCAAGAAAGCTTTTTTAAGTATAAAATGAATTGATTGGTGGTGCATTTGTTTTTCTTTGTTATATTATATTATATGAAGATGAATAATACTTATAAAGATTTGCATAATCTGACAGAGAGAGCAGGGATTTTACATGATAAAATCACTGAAAGAATTTATAATGAAGGATTACATTTCTGTAGAGATTGTGCTGAACATGGTCGTTACTGTGGAATTGCAGACCTTAGAATAGAAGATAAGGAGAAATTGATTGCCATTCGAGACTCGTTGAAGGAAATTCAGAACATGCTTGAGTTCTACCAGGTTTTACTATTGGTTTCTTTCCATGTCCAAAATGAATTCATTTTTCTGTTAGTCTATTCTAAATGCATGATTAGTGGAGATATCGAAGACATAATTAAGTAAATAAAAGTTTCTGATATTTCTAATAGCTTGATCTCTTAAATGAGCACACACAACTCAATATGCATTTGACAAGGTATAGGTCTTGAGGTCGAGTCCAGTGGCGGAGCCAGGATTTTCACTAAGGGGTATGAAAATATAAAAAATTAAATATACCAAAAGATCAAGGAGAGTCAACATATTGTAAATATACCTAAAACAAATTTTTTTTTATCTAACAATACAATGTAATTTCTAGCAAAGGGGTGTCATTTGACACCCCTTGGTTGAATGTGGCTCCGCCACTGGTCGAGTCTCCCGCATTCAGTGGCGTTAAACTACCTTTGCCACTACAAGGGGATCAGAAGTTAATATATACAACAACAATAACAGTCCCAGTATAATTCCGCAAGTGGGATCTGGGGAGGGTAGTGTGTACGCAGACCTTACCCCTACCTTGAGGTAGAGAGGCTGTTTCCGATAGACCCTCGGCTCAAGGCAGAAGTTAATATATACATATATATAAAAGAATTATTTATGCCCTATTAGCGTAGTACAATTTTCCAAAGAACGAGTTTCAATTGAACTCCTTTCAGTGATTGTGACGCTCTCCGTGCTCGCATATGAGAGGCAGTGTTGAAGACATAATTAGATATAAAAGTGTATTATGTCTAACCGCAAAATATATTTTATAAAAACACTATGTAAACATACAATAGACTGGCATTGTTTGAAAATAATACAGAATAAGTACCAATTAGAGACTCAAATTCACTTGTAAGACGAGTTAGGACAATAGGTCGATACTGCTTGTGCAAAATCCTGCGTGCAAAACTGTCTGAATAGATGTAATTATTTAACTTCTACTTGTGCAATGATTGCAGACATTACAGTCGCGGCAGCAGAGACTATACAATGGAGCAGTTGCCCGTTTGGAAGAAAGCAGAATGCTTCTGCTAGAAAAAATAAACAAGTATCCAACATGGGGAAGTAAACTAGTCTTAATTGAAGAATTAAGAGAGTGTTTAGTTGAAGGAAAAGTTGCATTTTCTGAGAATTTGGCAGAAACAAAAGAGAAACAGATTCAAGATAAGAAAAAAAAGAATAAAAATTCAAGTTTCTTGGTCATTTGCATAAGAGGTTTATTCAATCCGCGGAACTGGTTTCGTACTACAAGAATTGCTGCCGTAGCGTTGATCGTTGCTTCTGCTAGCATTTCTTCTCCATTTAACTTGTACAAGAACAAGCTGCAAATTAAGGAAAACATATCTGTATCAAGAATGAAGATTGACTATCCACATTGCCAACTAGCTGTTTCATATGGAAAGGGATGATATTTTTTATTACAATCATATTTTAGCTGATCACATTTCGTTGGATACCTAGCTGATTGGGTTGTCTAAACAGACATTGTTAGTAGATGTACAAACGAGCCGTATGGATACTAGCTGATCGGGTTGGCTACATTGACATTGTTAGAAGATGTACACACGAGTCGTATGGATACTATCTGATCAGGTTGGCTACATTGACATTGTTAGAAGATGTACACACGAGGCGTATGGATACCTAGTCAATCAAATTTGGATTGGAAGATCATCGGGATAGAATGCCTGGTGCGCATGTTTTCAAATGCATGTATAGCACTGATTTTCAGTTATAGATGTGATACATATTACAGATTCAGATATAGTCAAGAGTACAGATTTAGATGTGTATTTCTAAAATATAATACAGTATCAGATATAGTTTCAAAACAATTTCAGCTATCGTTATACAAGAGATATCCACTATTAAATTTGCAGTATTGCATAGCATGTTGTGTTTCAACACTTTATTCCAGAAATTATGGATGGTTATCTCATTACTAGAAATCCGGAAAAAAGCGACCACAAAAAGTGACAACTTGGGCCAACACGACCAAAGTTGGTCGCTTATAGGTCAAAAAGCGACCAAACTCTGTTCACTAAACTTGCTTGATGGTGATATGTCCTGGCTTTGAACTGTGCACTTGAAATGCTAATGTATTTTTGCAAGCAGATGCATAATTATGTACAAAAATAGCACTTGTAATTGACATTTGGCATTGTTTTTATCAAAATACTGCACTTGTAGTTGACCATGCATGCTAATCTGCATTTTCAGACTTGTGTCCTAATTGTTGGAGATGATATCATATACTAGTATATTTCTTTCTTATTCAATACTAATTTCCACAAAAGACACTAGTATTATATGATTTTTATACCACATATGGTTTTAAATGTGCTGTAGGGATCACCTGGAGAGCTATACTAGTGACTACACCGTTCAGGTCCTTGTGGGATACTGTGTAGTCTACATTTTTATGCAGACATTTATGATCCCAGGAACAGTTTTCATGTCACTGCTTGCTGGATCTCTCTTTGGAATCTTCAGAGGTGTAGCACTGGTCGTGTTCACCGCTACTGCGGGTGCATCATCTTGCTATTTTCTATCAAAACTGATTGGGCGGCCTCTCGTGTTCTCACTGTGGCCTGATAAGTTAACTTTCTTCAGAGACCAGGTGATTTTCAACTCACAACCCAATCATAATGTTCCGCTTTCCTAATTGCTACTGTTGCAGTAAAGTATCTCTGATCTATCAGGTGGCTAGAAGGCGAACACGGCTGCTAAATTACATGCTTTTCTTGAGAGTTACACCGACACTGCCAAACACATTTATCAATGTTGCTTCACCAATCCTGGATGTGCCTTACCATATATTCTTCTTTGCAACTGTCATTGGGATCATTCCAGCTGCTTATGTCACTGTCAGGGTACTCGTACTCTTTATTCAACTCTTTATGCAAAGTGTCAATGACTAAGAAATAGGGAACGTAGTTTGTTTTGGCCAACTATGGTTTCTGCTCCTTTTGAATTAAAAGAAAAACATTTTAGATTTATGATGCAAAGAGGGAGTAGCCTTATCGATTCCTGGGAAGTGGGGTTCTGTAGGAAGGGGCATTAAAAAAAATTGAACATCTTACATACAAAGAGGGAGCTGATTTTAACTTGTACTTTTTTGAGTTCATCTGATAAACTCTTTTGGTGTGCTACTTGTGTGAACATGAGCTGCGATGGTAGTAAATTAGGTAAAATACAGACACTAGTGTACAAGCTATGAATTTACGATATTTTACAGTATTAGTTTAATTCTGCTGTATTAAATTTAAAATTGACTATGCTGACCAAGGGATTACAATGCAGGCTGGAATAACTCTTGGCGAATTGCAGTCAGTGGGTGATCTCTATGACATGCATTCTATAGCTACTCTTTTCCTTATCGGTCTTGTAACTGTTACGCCCACATTGATTGGCAACAAGAGCTAATTATAGAGCTCAGCTTCAGCAGAAAACATTGTGAAGTGCCACGACTACCATTAACATTCCTCGGCATGACTTCATTATCTGTACAGATTAGCATTAGACAAGTGCATTGTGCTCGAGTCTTTGCCTCAAAAAGTTATGCAGCTATTGAATTTGATCCTGAAGCATTTGTTTGAAAAAACAGCCCAAAAAAAAGGATCTGATGTCATTTGAAGATATTCATGTGTAAGCTTCCCGTCATGATTCTGTAATAGTTTATTTGCGATGCTATTCGAAAACGTTGCCTTAGATCTTATATTCATTTCTTTTATCTGTTTCCTTTTTCTTAGATTCATATTTAAATGAATACAGAGTTGGAGAGCCAAAATCTTAAATAGCTTAATAGCCTATTTGGCCAAGCTTCCAAAAAAGTGCCAATATTGGAGCAGCAAATAGTGTTCGGCCAAAGTTCCAAAAGTGCTTTTTGTAAGAGGTGTTTTCCGATAAAATATTTTTGTAGAAAAACAATTTTATGTTTGGCTAAATAATTTGAAATGTATTTTTGTCGTTATTGGACAGCAATTTGTGCTTGCCTAAGGTTCCAAAAAAGTTTTTGGTGAGAAGTTGTTTTTTTCAGCTTCTAAAAAATAATTTTTCATCTCCTCAAAGTATTTTTTTTTCCTCCTAAAAGCTCGACCAAACATATCAAGTTTCTAAAGTAGGCCATTTGTAAAGAAAAAGTTCCTTCCTATACAATATATGAATCTTATTTACCAAAATTATTCAAATATTATATATTACCCGCCCTAAGCCAGTTTATTTACAAATTATATACAATCGCTTAATATAGTGTCCTAGCTGTGGGCTTCTTTAATTAGACACGTGATTCAAGCAACAAAATAATTTTTAGTTACAAAATAGATATGCTACAATCTACAAACAATATAAGATGCAATTGATGCCGCTTTTTCTGCAGTATCCACCTCTATCGAAGATTTTCTCTGCTTTTATAGCAAAAACTCAACAAATTCAAGGCAAAACTTTTATAGAAAACACCGGTGGTAGATGAATGTGAAGCCTGACTAATCAGCTTCGAAGCTATAGCAGATTTCTATACGATTTGACGATCAAAAATTATTTTATCAAGCTTGAAATTGCTTCGACAAGTGAATTTCAATGGCAACACTTGCGGTAATGCTTCAACACATTGGTTGTTGGGATAGCTTCGGGAGATATATTGATTTCGATGTCCATGAAATTGTAATCAATGAAGATTCGAGTTACAGTGCTTTGAATGCAATAATTGTAGATCACCTAGCAATAGATACTTCTGTCGAAATCATTAAAATCAAATACAGAGTCAACGAAAGGTGTCCTCTAATGGAAATTCGTAATGATATGGGTGTGAGAGTCTATATGGAGACGAAAAAGGATAATAAAGATCTAGGAATGTATCCACTGTGAATAACTGTAAAGGATTTCGATTTGGAGTGCAGTTCCTCGAACGTTAGCATGTCACGACCCCAATTTTCCCACCTTAGGATGTCGTGATGATACCTAGTCTCTAAGACTAGATAAGCCTAACATATATTGGAAGAGAGAAGGAACAATAACTTGAACATCATATTAAACTGTTAAACTATCATAATGAACCCCAATAGATACAACCGACAAATATCTCCCAAAATCTTATGGAACTGAGTCATAAGCTCTACAACAAGTGCACTAAAGTTCTCGACATACAATATTATTTTGAACAGGAAATAAACAGTAGAACATCTAAAACAGAAGGTGACTTCGAGGCCTGCGAATGTCGAGTAGGTGTACCTTGAAGTCTCCAAAAATAGCTAATGAGTCACTGGCGTCCAGCACGGGTGGATGTACCTGGATCTGCACAAAAATGTGCAGAAGCGTAGTATGAGTATACCAGAATGGTAACCAATAAGTATCAAGCCTAACCTCGGTAGAGTAGTGACGAGGCCAGGTCAAGACACCTACTAGGATAAGAAAACTGAACAGAATATAGCATAGTCTAATAATGGATCCCGAGGAAGTAAATGAAATATAAGCAGTTCAATAATATAAGCTAACAACGAAAATTTAAGCGGTAAAGGCAACAAGTAGTGAACACATGATGAAACAACAAGTAGTCAAACCTGGACAACTACATGTAGGAGAATGAAGAAACAACAAGCACTGTTCAACCAACAAGCCTCTTTTAGCATGGAATGTACAACAAGAATCACAACTGAGGTACTACCTCATATCACATTTTACAGTTTCAATCACAACATTTTTTATATCACCGTGTGAGCCTTATATTTAATTTTAAAAATATTTTTCCGAAATTGCTACACGCGTTTTAGCTTCCTTATCTCACCGCGTGGCTTCAAGTAATTCCCTTACGAGCAACACGCATATAATTTCTCATCTTATCTCACCGCATGCGTATCGACCCCTATCCATATACCATTGCATGCGTATCAATATCACAACATAATAATCAACTCGCATCACATGTGCATATATGCCACAACACTTGCCAAAATCAACAATATCAATGTTACCACAACGTAGAGCCCATGGCTCAATCATGTGTACAAAAATCTCAACAATATCAAAATGAGGAATAGCCAACAATTAATAACTTCAACCTCAATGTGATAATGATTTCCACAACTTCAACACCAATCACTCAACAAGAAGATATTTCACGAAGTAACAACTTCAAGTAAGAGTATTTCAAGAATAAAAGGGGTAACAAGACAATAAGAAAGGTAGCAACTTCAATTAAGCATATAAGAGCAACTACAACAATAAAGGGTATAACAAATGCTAACAACATCAATTAGAATATATAAGAGTAAATTTAACAATAAAAGATGTAACATGTTATAACAAATTCAAGTAAAGGCCTGGAACAAGTCTAAAAGTCTAAATCGGTCAAAATATCACATATAGCTCGTGTACATAATCGTCACCTTGTGTACACGTCTTTCACATAGTACAATTATTAGAAACAACCCAAATTCTAAGGGATAGTTTTCCACACAAAGTTAGGCAAGATACTTACCTCAACTAGGCCAAATCAACCCTCGAATATAGCTTTTCCTCTAAAACTCCGTCCATACGGCTCAAATCTAACAAAATATAACTTAATATTATCAAACAGTGACAGGGAAACCAATTATAATAGATAAAGTTATGATCTTTACACATTTCCCAAAAAGTTAACAAAAGTAAATCCCGGGCCTGCCCGGTCAAAACCCGGGTCCAAGACTAGATTCCGACTACCCGTAACCCTACGAGTCTATATATGTATTTTATTTTCAAATCCGAGTCCAAATCGACTCTCAAAGCTCAAATCTTCATTTTTCAAAACTTTGACAAAAAGCCCCAATTTTCCTCTTTGATTCTCATAAATTTGATGTTAAATCTAAGATATAATCATGAAATATAGTTGGAAATTGATTAGAATCACTTACCCAATATTTGTAGATGAAAACCTCTCTCCAAATCGCTTCCTACCGAGTATAGGGTTCTAAAATGAGAGAAAATGATATAAAATTCCAACTCCCAGCCCTTTTGTTTAGTTGCAGATGTCGCAATTGCGACTCAAAAGAAAAGCTCGCAATTGTGGAAACTGACACACTGAGGAGATGTCGCAATTGTAACACAGACTTCGCAAATGCGAAGTCCGTCCTCCTCGCAAATGCGAGAAAACAGTCGCAAAAGCAAACTAGCCTACCCAAGTCCAGACTTTGCAAATGCGAACAAGGTATCGCAATTGCGATACCTGAGCCTCCCCTGCTGATATCGTGAGATAATACCATATATTTTGATATTATTTACCCTACTTGCTTGTTGTTTGGATGCTAATTTTTGCGACAATTGCGGTTAATAGAGCTTATTTCATAGTAGAAATGCTTGGACATGAATTGGAGAAAAGTTGCACGAAATAGTACCTCAGAGCTATAAAATGGAGCAATAAAAGAAGACGTGCAAGGCAACGAAAAGTCATTGCCATAGACAGTGCCTTGCGCAGTAATAACACTGCCATAGACAATGCAAGGCATTGTTCAGGGCACTGTCAACAGTGCCATATACAGTGCCTTGCGCCGAAAAGACAGTGGTACAGACAGTGCCTGTACCGAAACGACAGTGCTACAGGCACTATAAGGCGCCAACAATGCCATGCGAAAAAAAGTTTAATTCCTCATTAGTATTGGACATGTAAATTCGGCCCTTGCCCTATAAATACCCCTTAAAGTTAGTTTTTAGAGGGGGAGACATCATTATAGAGGGTATTTGACCCAAGGAGGCAAGAACACGCTAGGAGCAAGGCCGAGAATTCTTCTACGAGTTTTTCACTTCCTTCTTCCTATTTTCATTATTGGCTATGAATTCTAGTATTGTAGTTTTGCATACTATTATGAATAGCTAATTTGTTATCTAGGGTTTTGATGAAACCTTTTGCAGGATGAATTCGTGATACGTTTTAATATAATTGAATCTTTGAATTTTTTTATTTGTTCGACTATGTGCTTATTTTAGTTAATTGAAGAGCTCTTAATTAAAGGTGCCTATTTATTATGTATTGCTTGAAAAAGAGTATATATTTAGGTGGTTGTTGAACAATGTCACTCCTAACGTATGTGAGAGATCAATACGGCGAGTTTAAAAGCAATATTAGAGATAACGACGATTTGACGTGATCATAGTGAGTGGTGAAAAAGTGTGAGCTAGCATAATTCGAGAGAATATGACTAGTACATTGTTGTAGTTGCTCGAGAGAGAATTACGATAAGTAGAGTGCTCATGATCAGTAGAGAATACTCAGGCAAAATTATAGAAGACGTAGCGGGAAGGATTCCGACAATTGGGGAAATCATAACTCTAGACCTCCTTAATCTTTTTTGCAACCCTTAGTATCCCTAGTTGTTAATTTACTACTTTAATTTTTTAGTTAATTAGTTAGATATAAGAATATTAATATTTATAACTTCGGAATTGTTCGTGCTTGTCTTCTTAGTGATAGTCAACAGTTGTATCTAAACCTTAGTTCTCTGTGAGATTCGACTTCGGACTCTTAGATCGGATTATATTTGCAGCGACCGCTTATCCTTTTTAGGACTAGAGTTGGGCGTGATCAAATTTTGGCGTCGTTGTCGGAGAACTAATGGTGTCTTTTAGCTTTATATATTGCTAGGTTTCAAGTTTGAACTTTTATTTTATTTTTTAATTTTATTTTATTCTACTTATTGATTTGAGAAACATGACATCTTAGAATTCTGGGAGTTCTGGTGTAGATAATTCTACTGTTGATCCTCATATATATTGTGAA